TAGAATGATATGATCAACACTAACAACCTAATCAAGCTATTAACAAATAATATCTTTTAATAAAATACATCCATCGATAATAAACTGATCCATCGACTTTTGCTTCATATAGAAGGTGAATAACCAAATGCATCATAATAGTAAAAAAGTTTAGAGAAAAAATCTTCTCTAAATGGCATAAAATAATCGTGGCTCGATCTTGAAGTTTGTCAAGCTCTTCCATATTCAAAACTTTCTCAAAAGAGCTTTAAATATGTTACTCAATTCAATTATTACTAAAGTGTCTTGCTTTGACATTGATGAATGTAAAGAAAAGTGAAGTAAGTCTTGCGTCATAATGTGATAATCATTTGACTTCAATAAAGAAAGTTTTTTGCTCCTTCAAATTTACACATCTTGATATATTTAACGCATAGCCATCCAAAACTTTCACATTTTTCAAAACCTTGCAAAACACATATTTCTCAGCTTTAGAAATCCCAAAACAGGCATGAGGCAATTGATATTTTCCATTAGGAAACAACTTCGAATAAAGGTCAAAATGAATTCACATATCAACTAGGTCAAGCTAACTCTTTAATTCATCATTTGATCTCTTATTCACATTGAGAATTATCTTGATAAAATTTTTGCAAGCATTTTTCTCTATGTGCATCACATCAAAGTTATGACATAATAAATTATGTTTCTAATAAGGTAACTAAAAAAATATACTTCTTTTTTTTCACAACTCAGACTCATTGGGGTTATCTTTTTCATCTTTTTTCTCATTACTTTGAATATCACGATCACTAACTTAAGTATCATTATCACCAATTTGAGTAATAGGAGGCCAGACACCTTCAAAGATCTTTCTCACTATTTTTCTTGATTGAGTCATTTCTTCATATGTGAAATTGATATCTTTTAACTTTGACAAGATATTAGATCCACTAATTGGTAAAGACAATTTCCTTAACTCTTCAGTTTCATAAAAAAGATATTTTTGGAATCTAAATCTATAATTATCATCTAACCATCGATGATGTCTCATATAACCTAACTTCCTACCATTATGTAACTACTTGAAACATGTTTGTGCAGCACAACATGGACAAGCATAATGACTTTTTATGCTCCAATCAAATAAATTCGCATAAGCAAAAAAAATCATTGATAGTCCATAATAAAGCAGCACACATATTAAAGTTTTCATTTTGTGATGCATCATAGGTCTCAACTTCTTCTTATAATTGCTTTAACTATTTAATAAGAGGTTCTAAGTAGATGTCTATATCATTATCCGAACTCTTTTTTCTAAAAATTATCATAGACAAGATAAATGATTATTGCTTCATGACAATCCATGGTGGCAAATTGTACGGAATTAATACAACTGATCAAGTACTATAAGAAGTATTCATCATTTTGAATGAGTTGAATCCATCAGCTACTAGTTCAAGCATAACATTTTAAAGATTAGAAACAAAGTTTGGATACCTAAAATAAAATGATTTTCATGCCAAAGAATTTACAGGATGCTTCAATGATCCATCATTCGTCTACTTGTCATGATGCCACCTCATAGAATCTGTAATTTTAGAAAACATGAATAGTTATTGTAGTCTTGGTATTAATAAAAAATATCGTAAAACCTTTACGGGTTTTTTTTTTACATTGACTTCATCATAATCCTCATTCAACCTTTCATCAAAATTTTTTTCACCCAACGAGAATTACCACACAAATAACATGATTGTTGATTTTTTCTATCACCCCAATACAAGATGCAATCATTGGGACAATTATGAATTTTCTCATATCCAAGACCTAAATCCTTAATCATCTTCTTTGAATCATTACAAGATTCAAGAATTTTTGCAAAAAGAAATATTTCTTTCATAAACTCTAATAATAAAGTCAAAAAATTTTGGGTCCATCCACATAAACATTTTAAGTGAAAAGGATGCACACAAAAAGATAACCTTGAATACTTAGATTCATCATAAAGTTTTTCATTCATATCCTCAAGCAACCTATAAAACTTTGATGCTTCTCCACTAAGTTGTTGGTCACCTACACTTATCCCATGCTCACCAAATTCATTTATTTTAACATCTGACTCATTAAATCTATCATTTTGGAGAGATGGATGATGGAAATGTTAGTTATGAATATTAAAAGCATCTCGCAACATGCCTTCAATGTCATCTTGTCTAATTGGATCATGTTGGTGTTGGGGAACCTTTGAGGTTGAAAGAATTCTAGGCGAAAACCTTGACGGTACAGATTCTTCATGAAAATATCAATTAATACATCTTGCAACAATTCTAATACAAATTAAATTTTCCAAAATAACTTCACGCAATTGCCATTTAATATTAGCACACTTCAAACATGGGCATAATATCATATTATCTTCACATGTATTCTCAAATGCAAAATTAAGAAAATTTTTCACTCTATCTTGGTACTCTTGACTTAATCTTAACTTTTGCATCCAACTCTTATCCATTTAGCACTTGCTACATCATTAGACCAAAATTATATAAATAAATTATATGAAGATGAACATGTCAAATACTTTATTATACTATGTATTCAACCAAAAATAATTACAAGACCAGTACTTAAAGAAGATCAGAACGACAAAGTAGTTATACACATTATGATAATATCAGTCGAAGGATCTCCTTATAATACTTGATTGATTTCTCAGTTTCTTCAACCACAAGTATGAAGCACCATAAGAAGTTACCTCGATAACTTTATTCAGCTTATCCTTGACCATTTGTAACAGATGGTAAAGGTCATCATCCCATTTATAAAATTTCAACTCTTTGTTGTCAAGTATTTTTCAGCTAACTGATATAATGGATTCCAAATTGGTATTTGAGGAAGATGAGTTTTGGAAAAAAATTGTATACAAAAAATTATAACGAAAATTACAAAAGCTGAAAGAATAGTAGAATGAAGTAAATGCTAGAGTAAATAACAAAAGAATAGTAAAAATAAGGATCCAAAAGACAAAACTCGAAATAGTAAAAGCTTAAGGAAAAGGAAAGTAAATTATAATTGGTATAAAAAGAGAAATAGTAGATTCATGAAGCTGAAGCATGAAGTTGGGGATTTGATACGCTAAGTGGGGGACAATTTTAGTGGAGTTTGTAAGACAAACGCCCATAAATCTTACAAATAGAGGTGCTTTCGAGAAAAAAAATGCCACTAACTTTTAATGTTTTAAGTTGGAGGGAGTTTTAAAAAATTACATTTAACATTATTTAAAATTACAAAATAATTTGGGGGGCATATGATTCCAATTTCTATAAGGAAAAAAGCGTTCAATTAATAATCCTCTTTTGAGGGAATTATTGAAGATATTTTTTGTAGAAAACGCCTTCAATAATCACTCCAATTTTTTATCAGGAGATTATTGAAGGCATATTTTGAATAAAATACCTTTAATAATTCTCTTCAATTTTGTAAAAAAAATTATTGAAGGTATTTTTTTGTAGAAAACGTCTTCAATAATCCACTGAAAAATTTTAAAAAAATTTATTGAAGGCATTTTTTTTATAGAAAATACCTTCAATAATCAACTAAAACTTTTTATAATAAATTATTAAAGGCATTTTTTTTTGTAGAAAACACCTTCAATAATCCATTGAAAATTTTTATAAGAAATTATTGAAGGCATTTTTAGCCGAAAATACCTTCAATAATCCATTGAAAAATTTTAAAGGAACTTATTGAATGTGTTTTTCTATAAAAAAAACATTTTCAATAATGATTATTGAATGCATTTTTAGTAAAAACACCTTCAATAATCAACTAAAAATTTTTAAAGTAATTTATTGAAGGTGTTTTTCTGGTAGAAAACACATTCGATAATCTCATCCAATATTTTATTAGGGTATTATTGAAGGCATTTTTTTTGCATAAAATGCCTTGAATAATCCCATCTAATTTTTTATCAAGGTATTATTGAAGGCGTTTTTAATCAAAAATGCTTTCAATTATCCATTGAAAAGTTTTAAACGAACTTATTGAAGGTATTTTTTAGTAAGAAACGCCTTCAATAATAATTATCAAAAGCATTTTTAGTTAAAAATATCTTCAATAATCCAATGAAAATTTTGAAAGAAAATTATTAAAGGTGTTTTTCATAAAAAAAAATACCTTCAATAATCTGCTTTAAAAATTTTGAGATGATTATTGAATGTGTTTTTAGTAAAAAATACCTTTAATAATCCCCTGATAAAAAATTAAATGAGATTATTGAAGGTGTTTTTATTTGTAAAATCCCTTCACTAATCATTTTTTATATTCATTCATGTCTTGAACTTTGGAATCTCAAACTACTATTATAAAGAACGATTAAAAGCTGCATTAATATTGCAACCAAACCAAAACCCAAAAAAAATATTAGTTTTCTCTTAGGTTTCTTTATCTCTCTCGTCATCACTGACCTTCAACAACTCAACTCAATTTCGCACACATCTATGTGTACCAGTATGTCCTTTTTTTGGTTATTTATATTCTTTGATATAGGTATTTTATTTTCATTCCTTACTATATATATTTTTTTCATTTCACCATCACCTGAGTGTAAAAAGCACCTTTCATTGCATGTTTTCTATTTCTGTGTAGTTTGATTTAAATATTATGATTTGCTGAATGGTATTGTGAAATTTATATGTATTTTTTTACTCATTATTTGTTTTGCATGGAACTTTTATTTAAGGTTGGAATCAAAGTATGGCTTGTACTTGTAAAATATTATGGGTTTAAGGATGATTTACGTATATTGGTATAGTAATTGTAGTATGATATTGGTTATATTTTATTACATATTATGTGAAATTTAGATAGACAGTTTGGTGTATTTCATATAATTTTAATCAAAATCACATGCATTATAGAATCTGAACAACATACTTCTCATACTACTTAATATGAAGAAAACACACATGTAGGCCAAAAAAAAAAGGGGACAAAATAAACAAATTGAAGTGACTGAAATGAAAATTCACGTCCACTTCAATCAAAATGGGCAACCTGTGTCTGATGGAGCTGTCAAGTTGGTTACTCATATTGGAGTGGTCATCCATCGTAGCATTTCAATTACATACCCTATTTGGCAATGAGTTCCTAATAATCTAAAGGAGTGTGTTCATACTAATTGTGTTAAATGTTTTAGGAATGGTTCGACATCCCAAATGAATGTAAAAAACTTGTGTTGCAATCGACTGGAAAAGCATTCAAAGATTTTAAAAGCAGATTGACAACCCAATATATTTTATGGCTCGTTGATCATGGTGATGCATTGGTTGTTCCACCTACGCCATATGCAGATGTTAAAAGTTATGATGATTGGATGACTTTTGTTTGAGATCAACTATCAAAAAATTTCTCGGTATGCATACCCAATACAAAAAATTGTTTATAAGATTTGATGTAATATATTCTATATCTTAATATGTGATTTACGTAATTTTTTTCTAGAAAATCAAAGAAAAATCAAAGAACGTTCAAGCCAAACAAGTATATCACCATCGAACATCGAGAAATGGTTATGCAAATGTCAAGTATGACCTCATAAGTATTCACACACTTGTTTTATACTCATAAATGAATATTTATGAACATTCATTTAATAGATTCTGATTTTTATATTGCGATAATTTATTAGGAATCAACTAGTTTTGACATCAAAGTTTTCAGATGGGATGTGTGGAAACAAGGACATTTACGAAATGATGGATCATTCACAGATGAAGCAACCAAACAAATGGCTAAAAAAATTGTATGTATAACTGCTCATTATATCATATATGATTGGCTTTGTGCTTGTATGGATGACTGTATACTAGCTTATACATATTTGTTATTATGGCTATCCTATTATTGTCTTTCAGGATGATTATGCTAGTAAAGTTAAATTCGGTGAACTGGCAACCTAGTATGGTAAAGATCCATTGTCTTTGGCATTAGGTGCCAAAGAGAGACATCATCACATTCGTGGCATTAGTAAATTTGTGTTGCCATCAAAGTTTTTCAGTAATCAACAAAAAATGCCTCAAATGATGAATGCATAATATGAAGCAATAATTAAGCAACAATAGCAAAGACTTGATGAGCAAAAGCAATATCTGAATGACCAACAACAACGACTTGCTGCTTTGGAGGTAATATTGACAGTAATGCAACCTAGTATGCTTGTAGGTCAGTCGGATAGCATCATCCACCTAGGACAAGCTTTTGTTGCAAGTCAAGTAGTAAACCTAACCCCCGGTACCAGCCATAAGTATGATTTTGTTTATTCACTTAATATTTATTTCTTTTTTATATTTATTGATTTCCTATTAATACTTATATTTCATTATATATTATAGTAGCATGTTGGGACTCAGAGTATGAGCCATGTTCGGGCTACCATTGATAAGTTATCTAATTATTTACTTGATCATTTATCCAGAGGAAATTGGATTACAGTTGAGTCCCAAGATAGGTTATTTGATTAACCATCACTTTCTTACATTGATGAGGAAGAGGTTCAAAAATTTTGTAACCTGGATGAAATATCAGTCGAAATATCAGCTAGTGATATTGTTGCTTATATGAGGTTAGCTTATAAATTTAAATATGTAAATTCAATATTTATTAATCTATATTACGATGTATTACTAACTACTATTGTTGATTATTACTGTGTAACTTTCTATATAGAGAGATAAAGATAAGAGAATTGACCCATCGATTCAGATTTGTTGACCTTAATATCATTAGTGAGTAGTGTGGCATAGTCATTTTTTGTGCTCGTTATGTGATTGAATACATGAAAAAATAAGCTAATTATTATTTGCTCCCATATAATGCTGCATAAGCTATATTTATACAAATAATTATTCCAACCTTAACCAAATCTGAGATGATGCCTAATCTGAGTATATCATTCTTATTATTTTGCAGTCATCATTGACATCTTATTGTGATTGAAGGCAATTCCTTAACACCATACTTATTTAATTCGGCTCAACCAATGGCGATGCCTAACCCTGATATTACAAATTTTATAAAGAGGTATTATATGTTATTATATTATCTTCTGTTTCTTCATAATTACTTTTATTTTTGTATTAACTATTTTTTTCTTTTCAATTTAGGGTATTGTTTGCAGTTGGTAATAAAAGCAAAAATAAATGAGTGTCATTACTGGTAAATGTGAAATTTATTCTTTTATATTGAATTTGTTTAGATACATATTTTCTGAACCCACTAAATTTATTTTTCAGGTTTTTCGTCAATCGAGATATACTAAATGTGGATATTATGTTTTTCGGTTTATGAAGGAGATAGTGTTATATGATTTTATGACCACACCATTCAAGATTAGTATTAATTTCATAAAATCATTATATCTTCTAAAAAAAAGCTAAATTATGTTCTCGATTATTAACATTTACTTGTGATTTTTTTAATGAGAAACTAAAAGAAGCTTCACAATAGACGAACTTGATGAAGTCCGTAAAGAGTGGTGTGAATATGTATTATCATTTGCTAAACCTTGAGCTTGGATATTGTTAGTTGGGTGTAAATATATGCATTTCATTTGTTATAATATTTTTGTAACATGCCATATTGAATGGATAATTTAAGTTTGTAGATTAGGGTATTGGTTTAGTATTATTGGCTTATATTTGTTTTCTATCAATTGGTTACAACTTTTATTAATACACATATATTGTGTACACATATATTTGAAAAAAATATTTATATGGCAACATTATCAGTTTTAAATTTGAATGTGTGGTCAATTTATTGAAATATTACATTGTTCGTAATGTAAATTTCAAAATATAATTCGTAATATTACATATATAAACAAAATATTTTCTGAATATAAACCTACAACTGACTTCCCTTCCCACTATTTTCTAGACAAAAACGCATTCATTTATCCCTTACTAAAAATCGAATAAGGGTATTGAAAGTGTTTTTGACTAAAATCGCATTCAATAATGTCTTCCCATTATTTTGTGAGGGGTTATTGAATGCATTTTTGCCTAAAAGATACCTTGAAGAATCTTTTATAAAAAATTAAATGACGTTATTCAAGTCATTTTTTGCCAGAAACACTTTCAATAATCACCTCCATTTTTATGAGAGGATTATTCAAGGCATCGTCTGTCAAAAATGCCTTCAATAATCCCCTAAGGGATTATTTAAGATATTTTTTTTGTCAAAAACGCCTTCAATAATCAATCCAATCTTTTAGAGGGGGATCATGCTGGGCGTTTTAATTGATAAATGCCATTAATTTTTGTCTTTAGTGGCGTTTATAAGTACAAACACCGCTATTCTAATATTTAGTGGTGTTTTGATGAAAAACACTTTAAGTTGTATAAAAACACAAAAGCTAACAGCATTTTTAAATGAAACGCCGCTACTAAACTGCCACTAATCTTTCATTTTCTTATAGTGTAATATGTCAAATTTATTAAGTTATAAATAAATAGTTTATAGTTATTTATTATTTTAGTAGTGTTATTGTATATATTTGTATTAGTTATGTCTATTTGTGTTTATCCATATTAGTCATGTCCATTTATATAAATTCATATTATTTATATTTATTTGTATCATGTTTAAATGGATTAATTATATATGTATTAATCATATCATATCACATATAACATGTATAATAAATGTATCGTATTCGTATTTAATATTTAAATATATTTTATAATTCATGTTATTACATATGTCAAACATAATATGAAATATGACATGTAAACACAAATTATCAAGTTTATATAAAATATCATCAAAATGTTAATTAAAAATAAACTATAAAAATCCATGTTAACAAAAATGAGATAAAAACATTTTTATTATATAAAAATTAAAATAAGAAAATTACATACAAATATAAAAGATGATATAATGCATGAAAATTACTTTCACGAGCGTCGAATCTAACCCTTGAAATAAGGTGTCGATGGACACCTCAAAATTAAAAAGAAATTAAAAAAACAAATTTCTTTGGACGCCTTCAAAAGTTTTTCGTGGATACTCCAAAAATTGGAAAATTAAAAAATTTGAAAGAAAATTTCTCTGAATACCTCTAAAATTTTTTCATGAACACTTTTTTATCAATAAAATTGATAAATTCATCAATAATTTTTTATTTATATTATAAGTGAATATCTTTGTGAAAAAAATCCTCCAACCACTACTAATGTTCATATTTAACTTTCCTTTTTTTCAAGTATAATTTTTAAAAGATGAAGATTCGCAACTACTTTTTTGATAGAAATATATATTTACTTGTCATTAAGTAAAATGTTTAGATATTAATTTCATCATTTATTTTACATTTAATTTTGTTAAAATAATCTCTTAAAAGATTTAATTAATTATATCAACTCAAATATGTCAAAAATATAAAAATTTTAAAAAATTAAATGAGAAAATTTTCGCATGCAAAGAAATGCAAAAGTAAAATTTCTAGTTTTGGATTAATTGAGATATAAAATTCAATTAAAAATGCAGTGCTGTGGCCTAGATTTATATAGAACAAACTGGACCGCTGTCAAATTTCTGCTCGGCTCAAAATCGGGCTTTAAAGCCTGACCCTAGGATTGACTCGTAATTTTCTCATTCTAAGCTAGATTCAAACCCTGCTTGAGCTAAGCCAATCCTAGACGCCTCTGATCAATAAGGGAGAGCAAAATTCGATTAAAATAAAAAAAAATGACAAAAATCAAAATATTTGGGTAAATCGATTTTGTTTAATTGGATTGTACGAATATGTCGATTTTTTTTTTATTTATACGGTTAAAGCAATCAATTTTTAAGTTTAAAATTTGAAATCGAATAAATTAAAATATCTAATTTAATACAAGATAAATAATTAAAATAAAAACATTTTAACCACCCATTTTTTTGGATTTTCCTTTTGCTTGCTGAACCATAGCTGCTCATTTTTACACTTTCAACATTTTTTTATCTCCCACTTTCCTTTACTGCGGCACACTGATCTCCATCTTCTCCCTCAAATTTCTCACAATCTCCCCTCGCTAATCTGTCGCACATCGATCTTAACACTCTTATCTGCCGCACATCTTCTTTCTTTCATTCTTGTTTCTCAAATCTCACTCTCATCTTACAGTCCCTTTCACCCTTATCTTGTGCGCTGCCGTGTCCTTGCTGCCGCACCGCTCCGTGCCTCTGCCTCATTCCTTCTTCAGTTCCTCTCACAGTCTCTCACGCCTTTTTGCTTGCTGTCTCTCGGTCTCTCACGCTCGCGCTCATGTTGCCTTCTCTTCATGACTTCAACAGCATCGAGGTCAGCTCCTTTTTTTCATCTTTGTTGCTTATTTAGAAAATTTAGTTTTCAGATCATTCTCTTCTTTAATTTAGCTGTTGAATTTAGTTCTTATTCCTACAAAGCCAAAGACTGGTCTTATTTCTTGCTTGAACCAACCCTAAACTTAAAAATCTTCCAAAACTAAATTCGATTTAAGTTAAGTTTGAAAGTCTAACAAGTAACTCATCTCGTTAATAGATTTGCCCCAATTCTTACATGGATGATTTTGGAATATTTGTGAATATATTTCCTTGAACCGACCCCAAACTTAAAAAATCCTATAATTAATTACATCTCGTTAAAGATTCTTACATGGATAATCTGTTTTTGTATTATTCTCGACCAAATATATTTAATTGTTGAATATTTGTGAAATCCAGTAAATTAGTATAAGTATAATCATACAAAGTGACCATTGACCAGACTGTTTTAGAAACAATGCTTGCTTGTCAGTTGATTTTACTAAATAAAATTGATCTGACAATGTTTCTTTAATTCTTCTACATAATATTATATCACAAAAAAATATATATGCAAGTATCTTTTGATCAATTCCATAAAATAGACTAAAACATAATAAGTCAAAAGAATTTAATTATACATTTTACAAGTTGAATCCTTGCTACCCATTGAGGTCACACATGTTGAAGTACGTGTAGCCAGAATAGTTTCTATCTTTCTTTGTTAAGCATATGTCAACTATATTTTGAGAACTCATATTTCTGGGCAAATGGCTGCGCTGCATATTCTTCAAATGGCATCCACTGCAAAAAATTAGAAATAACCATGTGAGGTTTCACCAAATGCCAAGTATTTACCTATATAATCCATCACACTTTTCTAAACTTTGTTGATAGTTTTTGAAGTTGTTGCAAACTTGCATACCCAAGGAAATATAAAAACAAACCTAAAGCAGTAGAGATGAACCGCACAGATTTAATTATAACTGTACTCTAATATCATTTTTTTTATTAATTTGTTAAGGGGAAAAGAAAAAAAAAACTTTTAAGTTTTAACTTCATTGCTTTCACTTTGAATGCTAATTACCTTGGCTACTTCTATCTCAGATTCCTGCTTCTGGATTTCAAAAGAAAGTTCTTCATCTAGTAATAAAATCTACCTCATCATTGAAATCACTCACCTCTTGCAATTCTATACTGTTTCATTATGCTTCCAAGACAGGCAGAAATATTGTTTTGTTAAAAAAAAAAAAGTAACCATAGTGTATTTAAAGAATCTGAGATGGCATTGACATGGCATAAAGTACCTCTTTTAAGTAAATAAATTTAAAACTATTCATTTCCTTATGTTTATATATTTTCATTTCTTATTTTCTAGATGAATTATATTGAATGTTTACATTTCCTATAAATGATATTATTTCCTTATATTTATATATAGCTTAACTTTTTATTTTTTTTCTTGAAGATGTCAAATAAAATGATTGATCGAAATTCTACACAATAAGATGCTCAATCAATCCCTTCAATAGACACACGTGGAACAAAAAGTGAAGTTCTGACTACTAAATCGAAAAGAAGACAATCAAACACACAGTCAAAGGTATAGGACCACTTCACCAAATTTACTAATGACAAAGGTGAATGAAAAGCTAGATGAAATTATTGTGATAGGGAATTTTATTCTCAACTTAAAAAAATGAAACATCTGCATTAAAGAATCACATGTGTTCTTGTATGAAGTTTTCTTGTGGTAGTGATGATCTTTCCCAACGAGAATTAATTTTTAACTTGGAAGGAAATGGGCCTTTAGGTACTTGAAAGTTTGATCAAGCTGCTATTAAGAGAGGTGTGGTTAAGATGATAATTATAGATGAGTTACCTTTTAGATTTGTGGAAGCGAAAGGATTCAGGCGTTGTATAGCTATTGGATGTCCTAGATTTCATGTACCATCATGATGGACCATTGCTAGGGATTGTTATCAAATTTATGTGGATGAAAAAACTTCCTTAAACCAATTCTTGAAATCGTCTTTTACAAGAGTGTCTTTTATCATTGACGCATGAACCTCATTGCAAAAAGTCAATTATATGTGTCTCACAGTTCACTTTATAGATAATGATTGAAAACTTAACAAAAGGATATTAAACTTTTGTCCCATTTTTAGTCAAACGTGAGGCTATTGGTAGGGCAATTAAAAAATGCTTATGTGATTGGGGGATTGATAAAGTTTTTGCTATTACAATTGATAATGCTAGTTCCAATGATGTTGCAACCTCATACTCAAGAAAAAATTTAACAATGTAAGAACTAGTATTGTAGGAGGCAAATATCTCTATTTGAGATGTATTACTCATATTGTTAACCTTATTGTGAGTGATGGGTTAAAGGAAAGGAGTGATTCGATAGTGATTCGATTGTTCATGTTAGAGAGGCAGTTAGATATGTAAGACATTCACCTTCTAGGTTAGCCAAGTTTAAAAAGTGTGTTACCAATGAACACATTCAAAGTAAGAGCTTGTTATGCTTAGATGTTAGAACTAGGTGAAATTCCACTTACTTTATGTTGGAACAAGCTCAAAAATTTGAAAAGGCTTTTGAGGCTTTTGATGATATTGATCCTTATTATAGAACTGAGCTCATATTGAGAGATGGAGTGCTCGATCAAAATGATTGGACAAGTGTTAGAAGATTATGCCTTTTCTTGCAAAAGTTTTATAACCTTACAATTAGAATTTCGAGTTCTTTATATGTCACCGCTAATAATTTTCTTAAAGATATTTATGGTGTTTATAGTAGTTTGCAAGGTTGGCAATTGAATGTTGATGTTGATGTTGAGTTGAGTGCAATTGCTAAAAGAATGAAGGATAAGTATGACAAGTATTAGGGGAATGTAGAGAAAATGAAAATGTTACTTTATATTGCTTCAATTCTTGATCATAAGAAAAAACTTGTTTTTATGGAGTTTTATTTTATGAATATGTATTCTTATGATCAAACTTTAGTGATGATGAAAAAAAATGAAAGAAGCAATTGATGAGTTATTTGATGAATACAAAAATATGTTGCAACATCAATATGAACAAGTTGGTGAAATTAGCCATGCGAGTCAAGTTACAAAATCCACCTATGAACTTAAAACTGAGAATGTATATGACTCACAAACTGTTATGATTGAATTTAGGAGGTTTAGGAAGCAATAAGGTAGAGAAGAGAATAAATTACAGTTGGAGAAGTATTTGAATGAGGTGCCTGATGCTATTAGGGAAGGGTTGAACTTTGATGTTCTTTTCTGGTGGAAACTCAATAGTCATAGGTTTCCTATTCCTATCTAGCTCATGATATGTTGGCGGTTCTCATATTCACAGTTACTTTTGAATCAATTTTTAGCATTGTTGGTTGTGTACTTGATGCATATAGGAGTTCTTTAACTCATAAATTTGTGTTTTACTTGTGCTCAAGATCAGATATGTGAATCTTCAAATTTTGATCCAAATGCCATCAAGGATGAAGTGGAACAACTTGATAAGACTGATTTGGGTAATTATTTTATTTTTACCACTATATTTTTTCAATTCTTATTTCTTTAAATCTTTATAGCTAAATTTTTTTTTTTTTATGTATGTTTAGTTTTATCCAAGATTGCAGTGGATCTCGTAATTGATTAATAAAGTGATTAATAAATTGAGGTAACATGAATAGACTTTTTGTTATTTTTTGTTTATGATAATTTTTTTGTTAATTTTTGTTTATGTTTTTGCTGAGTATTGTTGTTGAGAAAACTTATTGCCTTATGATTAATGTTGAGCAAGCTCACTGGCAATGGTCATTTTTTAATATAATTGGCTGAGTATTGTTGTTGAATAATTTATTCTGTTTTATTCTTATTTTTTGCTTTGTTTTTTTTTTTCAAGCTTGCTTAATGACTAACAGCAGCATGTTATGGATTGTTATCATGGTTTATAGACTATTAGTTTGTGTTTTCATAATGTAATCATTGTCTCTTAAATGTAATCATAGTTCATTGGCTGAGTATTGTTGTTGCTATTAGTTTGTGTTTATGGACTATTATGGATTGCTAGTGTTAGATAAATTAAGTTTCTGTTTATGGACTATTATGGACTACTAGTGCTAGATAAATTATGGACTATTATTTAAGTTTGTTTTTATGTTATATTGTATTTGTGTTTTTATTTGAGTATTATTGACAATGTTTGAACTTATTAGATTATGTCTTGAATATCTTAGTACCTAACTATCTTTACATGAATTACATTTAAGGTTTAATGCAAGAAACAAAAACAAAAACCAACTAACTTAAGAAAATCGATTGAAACTGATTACCTTAATTCGGTTTAATTCTTTTGGTTTTTCTTACATACATCAATTGGTTTGGTTTTTATAATAAATTAAGTCGGTTAAGTCAGTTATTCAATTTTTACGACTAAATTAACCGAATCAACCGTTTACTCAATCTTATTGATCAATCCCAAAATTGAAGCAAAATATGTAACTGCATTACTATATATAGTTGCCAGGCCATTACCTTTTCCTTTCTTGTTAAGTGAAAGATTCACTTATATATTCTATTTAGTGATCGTTTTAATTGGCTTAAATATAAAACTTGCCTTAAACTATATAATTTTTGTCAATTTAGTATATAAAAAAGATTATTACATGAACTTTTATTCTGTTATCATGTTCTAACCTTAAATTAACATCATTAATTAACTTTATTGGTTTGATATGAATATCTAATAAAATATTGATGTGTCAAAAAATCTAATCAATGTCATATCATTATTAAAAGAAAATTTTTAAAAAAAAATTCAGAAATTTAAAAATTTTTAAAATTAAAAAAACCTCAAATAAACCAAATAAATCTTAAAAAATTCTCCAAATTAAAAAAAAAAGTTTCAAAATTTTTGGAAATTAAAAAATTCATTAAAATTTCAAAATATTTTCTAAAAATTTTAAAAAATTAAAAAAAAATTAGGAAATTTAGGAACTTTTAAAAAATCTTTAAATTAAAAAAATTTTAAAACTTAAAATCTTTTTAAAAAACTCAAAAATGAAGATTTAAAAAAATAATTTTTTTTTTAAAATTAAAAAAATAAAAATATTTTTAAAATTAAAAAAATTTCATAAAACTTAAAAATAGTTAAAATAAAAATTCTAAATTTTTTCAAAAAATATAAAATTTTTTTTCAAATTATAAAAAGTTTCCATTATTTTTACCTTTACAATTTTATTTTTATATTTTTTTGAATTTTTTAAATTTTTTGTATTTTTTTAAATTTAAGTTTTATTAATTTTTAATTTTTTAGAATTTTTTAAACTTCTTAGAATGTTTCAGATTTTTTAAATTATTTGATTTTTCAAAAAATTTTAAAAATTTTTGGAATTCTTTAAAAATTTTCAAAATTTTTATAATATTTAAAATATCAAAATTTTTTTAAATTTTTTTTATTTTTTTATTTTTAGTATTTTAAGTTTTTGTGATATTTTTAACTTTAAAAAAGTATAATTTTAATTAAAATTTTAATTTTTTGAATTTCTATTAAAATTTTCGAAAATTTTAACATTATCATACTTTTTATAATTTTAAAAATATTTCATATTTTTAATTTTTGAAAAAATTTTAACAAATTTTTTTAAAATTTTCTTATAATTGTTTTTAGCTTTTAAGATTTTTTTAAAAAATTTTTTAGAAATTTTTAGAATTTTAATAAAATTGTCAAATTTTGTTTGAATCATGTAAAAATTTGTTAGTATTTTTTCATAAATTTTTTGAGTTTTAAACTTTTTTAAAATTTTAAAATTTAAAGAATTTTTCATAAATTTGAAAATTTTTTAGATTATTTTGAAATTTTTAAAATTTAAAAAAAAAATTCAAAGTTTTTTAGAATTTTAAAAAATTTTCTATTATTTTTGTGAAAGTTTTTTGAATTTTCAAATAATTTTTATAAATTTTTGGAAGTTTCTATTTTTTAAGATTTTTTAATTAATTTTTAATATTTTTTTAAATAGTTTTTTAAGTTTTCTTTTTTTTATTAAAGTGGCGTTGATGATATAGCGTTAATTGAATTTTTTTTTATACATTTCAAAATGTTATTGGATATTCATGATATGTTAGTAAAATTTACTAATAGCGTCATTTTCATATATCCCAATGATAGTAGAATGAGAGTTCATGTACTAATAAGATAATGTAGATACGAAATTTTGTTCAAATTAATTTGAGTTTGTGTGATTTTTACATTTGAGTTTGTGTGATTTTTACATTTCATTTAAACAGTTCAATTTGAGCTAATTTAAACATCCTAATTAGCTTATTTGGATTTTGATTTGGATTATTTATTTTTAAATTATTTTACACAGACCAAGGCTCAATCTAATTTAGTTTGAGTTAATTTAATATAGAATTTTAAAGCCCAGAATTTAAAAATTAAACTTTTGATTTTAAAGCCTAATTTTTTTTTCTTAGGTTTAATTACTTTTATTAATTGACAAATTATAAGAATGAAAAACTAAAAAAAATCATCTCCCATGGCTGAGCTTTCTCAAGCTCCAAGAATTAGCCTCCCAAATTCAATTATTCATTTTTTCTTCCCATTTTCACCCATTTTACTTTCATCACAAGTTTACCAAGCGAGAGGCTCGTTCTTCGCACCCTAAAAAGCTCAGCATTCCCTTGCCCCAAACTTGCTGCAACTTTACAACCAAATTCAATGCCTATGTCTACACTTAACCTTTGAGCACAATAGGGCTTTTATTTTTAAAAAATCTAAGCTTTCCAAAACCAAAAAAGAAACCCACGACCATTCTTTGAAAAACTAAAATAATCTGCATTCTCTAGTGGGAAACCACTACCATTTTCTCAACAAGGAACACCTTCAACCATTCTCAATTGCACAACCACCATTCATAAGTGTTTGAGCCATTTTTTGGATCTCTGATTTTAGGTTTCAACATCAAAATTTTGTTTGGATAATTTTTATATATTTTTAGGTTTTTCATTGGAATTTTTTTTACATTACTCATGTTTATCATAACGTATAGATCCGAGGATCTATCGCTAGACATTGACTTTTAGGGAGTCGTTACCAATCTTTTTTATCTAGGTGCGATTGACCACCTAAAGAATCTGTTCTTTCAGGGAACATTTGAGTTTAAGGGTCCCTAAAAAAATAGGTTCAGGTCTACTAACCAGAACAGAGTTCGAGAGTTCGGTTACGTGTGAGGAAGGTTATAGTACCCTCACAACACCCATCGAAAGATGGTACCAACTTAAATTTGTGTTATCCAATGAGCTTTAAAATTTTACCAAGTAATTAATTATTAGTAATTATTCTCAATTAACTATAATACTTTTAGCAAAAAATTAAAAAAAATTTCTCACTTCAGGAGTATGCAAGAAAAATTACTGTTTCATTTGCAGAGGCTCCATCATCGGATTATTTAAAGAAAAAAATTAAAAAAAAGAAAAAAAAGATGATTGTTCTTGTGCAGGGAAAATTAATACTTTCAATTTTTTTTCAAAAATATTCTTTTGAAATTTTAATTTCGAAGAAAATTGATACTTTCAACTTTTTTTTAAAAATATTTTTTTGAAAATTTTTATTTTCAACAAAAATTGATACTTTTAATTTTTCCTCAAAAATTGATTTTTGGAAACTTTGATTTTCAAGGAAAATTGATACTTTCAACTTTTCCTCAAAAAATTTTTTTTTGAAATTTTATTTTTAAAGAAAATTGATACTTTTAATTTTTCTTCAAAAACTTTCTTTTTTTTGAAATTTTTTTTAAGAAAAATTGATACTTTCAACTTTTCTTCAAAAATATTTTTTTGAAAACTTTGATTTTCGAGGAAAATTGATATTTTCAACCTTTCTTCAAAAAATTTTTTTGAAATTTTATTTTTAAGAAAAATTGATACTTTCAACTTTTCTCCAAAAATATTTTTTTGGAAACTTTGATTTTCAAGAAAAATTGATACTTTCAACTTTTTCCTTAAAAATTGATTTTTTTTTAAATTTATTTTTTTGGATTTTATTTAAAAAAATAAAATAATAAAATGAAAGTGAAAATTAAAAAAAAAGTAAAAACAAAAATAAAAGTAAAATAAAGATGAAAGAACATTAAATAATCCTAATTTAATAAATAAAATAAAAAACAAATAAATATATATATAAAAAAAAAAAACTTGGAGCGGCTCGGCTCGGCTCAAGGAAGAGAAACGGTTTGGAGGGGACGTCGGCTCGACTCGACTCACGGCTCGGTGAGGGCGGGACATGCGCGGGTCGAAAGCAGGTTGACGCTCGAATTTCGGCAAAACATGCGGATCCTCTAGGTCACTTAAGGGAAAAACGGCATCGTTTTGAGAGGGTATATAAAGTTATTTCCTTCGTTTTTCGACAGAAAGCTTATTTCTTCTCTCTCTTCTTCCTTTTTCCTCTCGTTTCTCTCTAAACGGTCGAAGAACTCCGATTGAATATTCATCAAATTTTGAAAATTTTCACTGAAATCTGAGTTTTTTGCTGAAAGTTCATCGAAAAATTGATCGATTTTTGGGATCCTTCATCGAAAATTGGGCAGCTCATCGGAACCTTCAAAGTTGGCTGGAATTATCGTCAAAAAATTCAACCTTCATTGGAAAAATCATCGGAATCTGGAATTTTTCAGAAATTTCCAAAAAAAAATCTTCAAAAATCTTCAAAAAATTTTTGCTAATTCCTAGAACACTTATAAACCTTTTCTTAGCCTTCTATACTCTTTTCTATGCATCTTTTCTCTCAAATCAGTAGCTTTTTGCTCATTAATTTTTTGTGTTTTGTTCTGTTCCATGAGGTCCCTTTTATAAAGATTGATCAGAAGAGTTTCTAATCAATCTCTATTCTTTTTTGGATCGAGATTCAATCATTGAATCCAACATAGACTCTTCTGATTCAATCTCAATCCGATTTTCATCCAGATAAATAAAAAAAAATAAAAAAAAATCAAACGAAAATAAATAAGATAAATCAAAAAAATTAACAGATAAATTAAAATTAAATAACAGATAATACATAAACATTAACAGGAAAAAAAAGAAGAAAATAATAATAATAATAATAAAAGATATATACATATTAATAAATACATAAATACCTAAGATAAAAAATAATAAAAGAAAAGAAAAAAATATATATATACATATATAAAATAATAAAAATAAAAATAAACTAAAAATGTAAAATACAAAAAATAAAAATAAAACGAAGAGAGAAAAAAAATATAGACTTACCCATTTGGACCAGGTCTAATTGATCCGGGTTTGGACCAAATTGGGTGTCTACAATGTTAATAATATTTCTATAAACTATGCATGTTTTGAAATAATTAATAATACTTATGAAAATAAATACTATGGATAATTATTTTTTTGTGAGAATTTTTATTATTAAATGTTTATAAAAAATAAAGATTTTTTCGATGATGAGATTCTAAAAAAATTTGTGTAGTTATTCCTATGAAATATTTAAGTGAAAATTTTTTTTTTAGATACTACTAGCATATTGGAGTATGTATAAAAATTTTTCAAAAAGAAAAGCTTTTTTTTATAAAAAAATGCTTTAAAATGTAAAAATAAAAAAATAAAAAATTAATAAAAAATCTTTTTTAAAAGGGATAAATAATTAATAATAAATATAATATAATATAATATAAATACACAAATAAAGCATGCATATCTATGCAAAAGTATTATGCTTT